TGTGGCCACGACGAACAGCGCGTTTCAGCGAAGAGCACGTCGGTTGCGGGTCGGTGATGGTGTCGCTCGGGGAGGCCGTTTGAATGCGATTGGCGGGCAACAGGGCGTAGCGTGTGTCCGTGGCAGTGCGCGTGCAGTGCGTTTGTGTGCGTAGCGCGCGCAGGGGCGAGGACAAAGCGGTCCAAAAAATGGAGGTTAGGTTTTCCATTTTGCTGGGCGCATAGCGCAGTGGTAGCGCGTCCGCTTTGCAAGCGGAAGGCCCCGGGTTCAATCCCCGGTGTGTCCAACCCTTTGTTCGACTCACCTCCTCTTGCACGCCTACCTACATGCCTGCCTGCTTGCGACGGCCCGCAATGCCGCCGCTTTATGCCCTGCGTACAGCTGGATAGCCGCTCCAGATCGCACCACCCAGTCCAAAGCTCGCCTCGCAGCTTTCCACCGCACCCCCCGATGCACGAGGTCGGTTCGATGACCGCTACGCCGAACCTGTAACGGGGTTACACGCACAAGTGGCTACAGTCACTTGTTACTCTAACAGATGCGATGTCTGCTAGAGGTTCGAACACTTCCTCGACCTTGGTGTAAGGCACACCAATGGCTACATACATTTATGACCACCACGTCGGGTGGTCCATACACATTTAGGATTCCTATTGGCTGAAAGCAGCATCTTTTAGCCAATGAGTGACTTGCATGTTAGCAGAATCCTGCCAACCAGCCGTTGGCAGATTCCTAGTTTAGAATATTACATTTAGAGGAAGTCAGAAACATAAAACAAAAATAGCAGTTCTCATCTTTTACCAAAACCCGCTACTTGGAGTCTTTATCTTGTTTAAAGTATACTCGTGGATCTCGAGTATACTTAACTCAAGTAAAAGAAACCTACGCTTCCTCATACACGTGCGCATACGTGTAAGCCGTAGTAGTGAGCCAAGGTAGGCCCATTACAGAACCAGCAGCAATGCGTTGGCGCTGCCACTCCAGACGGCCTGGCCGCTGGCTGAAGCGTGGATCCGGCGCAAACTCGGGTGTGTGGCCACGACGAACAGCGCGTTTCAGCGAAGAGCACGTCGGTTGCGGGTCGGTGATGGTGTCGCTCGGGGAGGCCGTTTGAATGCGATTGGCGGGCAACAGGGCGTAGCGTGTGTCTGTGGCAGTGCGCGTGGCACTTGTACCCGGTGCTCAAGTGGCATGTAAGTCTTGGGGTCCGGATAGACCTACCTTGGTTGGTGCACCCAGGTACATTTCAAGTGAAGCCTGCCTGCAGAGCGACGACATATCTGTCACTTGAGGTGGCGGAATCGGAGTCCGGAGGCGAAGACATGATCGGGCTTTAGGGGGTGGGGGTGGTGGGTGGGGGCTGGCTTTGCTAGGCAAATTGACACGTGAGATTGATAGTACGGCTGTAAGGCCGTACAAAATCTATTGTCCTGACTAAGTCGTTTCACGCAATGCACTTCATGTGATAGCGAAAAGCCATGACACGATCGCCTGTTCGATTGTCTAATGACTCAACCCCTTCAAGTTGATGCTGAGGAGCAGCGTAGTGTAACAAGACATTGCAGTAGAAAAAATGTATGTGACCGCAACGGCTTGCAAGCGTTCACGTGTTGAAGCAAATTCAAACGTTAGGCTGTTGGAGGGATTCATAGCGATACAAAATGAAGCTCCCAGGGACTGCACTAAACTCTGTTCGGTCTCCGTTTGCACCTAGAACACAACTCGCCCCAAATGAAGGATAGAAGCCGTAGTTAGACCCGCGTTATCCGCATTTAGAGCACTATCTAGTGGCCTGAGGCAACAATACTATGTTCTACTACACCTTTTGGTGCGTTGAGTGGTGGGCTACCTGCGACAGTTACAGAACGTTCTACGAAGTGCATGCGATCCTGTAGAATTTAATGGAGATGGTAGACCATCGATGCCATCACCAGTAGAATGGATGATTCAAGCTAGCTACGATTGGACAACCCAATTGAACTGTAATACCTGATGATAATAAGATTATCGGAAAGGACAGTTGGCCATGTATCATTTAAGAATATGGCTCGACCGAAGCAGAATCGTGCTCGTTAACCCCTTAGCGCCCAAGTTTTTTTTACCTGCTTTTTATTTCACGGTGCTCGCCCAACATGTTACTCATGCAGCATGTTAAAGTTGCGCAACCCTTACGTTTACTTTTGTCTCGTATAATTTCGACGCCCGGCTGTGTACAACAACAACATGACCATTTCAGCAAATCACTCCTCCACGTTGTACCTACAGTATGTACATGGTGTAGATACAGCATGATGGCGCTCCTCGGATGAGCGACTAGCGGCCTTTTTATCCAGAGACTGGACGAGGGCAGCCTGGAGTGCGTAAAGCAAGGTAGTATTCAATGTCTCTTGCGCGAAATATACAACGCATCAAATGAATACACACAACAACCGCACGAAATGGTAACCTTCACCGGCCAGCCCAACATTCATTGTCAAACACTTATCTTTCTCCTCACTGTCAACCTCCGCCGGAACTTACATCTCCTTCGACGTTGCTGCTGCTGCTGTGTGCAGCTGCCTCCTCGCTATCTTCCCCCTCGTTGCTTTGGCTTGATGCTTGCGCTTTCCGGCGGTCTTGCTAGCGCCTGCCTCTCGACTTTGAAAGTTTCGCCCGCACCGCGGCTTCGGGCGCTTCGTTCCATTTTCCCGCTTGTGGTACCAGATCTGGTAACAGCTCATGGCGTTTCCAGGATAGTGTTGTGGCCAAATTTTGTTACATAGATACATGCTGCAGATAACAGTACCGAGCTTTGTCCGACTTGCTGCAGACAGCACAGTAGTACTTCGTGGCGCGACGCTCTCCAAACCGGCGCTTCAGAACGGGGCAGACCTTGTAGTGACGCTGCCAACGTTTGCGTATCCCATTGACATACTGGTACTCTGGCCATTCTTGGCGCTCGTGGCCCCGTGGCAACGGAGAAAGCACATCACCATCTGCAGGCTCATGTGGGGAAGCCTACAAGCAAACACTTTGTTAGCTCACCTCCAACATGACATCAATCCAACATGTATATGATTGCATACCTCACAGGAATACAACATGTAGAACATGCATGATGTTGTTGGCTAAACATCCAACATGGGCATCCGACAGCATGTGCAACCACCGCTAACATACAACATCTACCACATACAACATGGAAAACTTACTTGTTCGGCGAAGTCGCTCTCTGGCAAGTCCAGCAACGCAGCATGCGGCTCCATCAGAAACTCAGCGCGCGGCACAGGCTTCTCAGTGCTTTCCTTTTGCGCCTCACGGAAGACAATGTAGGCGTTCACGATGGCAACATCTACAAGCCCCCAAAAGAGGGACTTAAGTATTTTTTGCACCAAGCCTGCTTTTGTAGCGAGTAGTACTGGAGGCGGAGCTGGTCATGAATGTCGACTCCGTCCATCCATCTGTGATAGTCGCGGATCATCGCTGGGCATGGAACATCGCTCCGCCTTCTCTGTGTATCACGTGTTCGCCTCTTTGATAAGATAAAACATAACGTTAGTTTTTCCAAAACAAAATAACTTTGTTTCTACATATACGTACAACACGTCTCCATGGCTCGACTTGTTCCTGTCCCCATGAACTGCACAGGTTTTCGATCCCACCATACCAAACCTGTCATCATAATACAGCTTTTTGCTACTGCCATTCTTGTCGTCCCGTGCGGGAATCGTTTGGGCCGGTCACGATTCTCCACGACAAGTTGTGGCGGGTATCCAACCTTGGCGCCAGTGATAGTGCATATATTATAGACGTCCCGGTGCAGAAGTTGGAGTGCAAATTGCACCGATGTGTAAAACCGATCGGTCACCACGAGGTGGAAGCACCGCATCAAGGTTGCGGATCACCGCTGAGGGCCCGCTCTTTGCATCCGCTGACTGCTGGCTGCTGGGACGTTACCCACCTCATTGAGCAATTGAGCAGCTGCGCCTTGCCACAATATACTTCAAGTCTACATGTTGTAGGATGCAGTATCAGTCAGTACATACAACATTAAGCTCCCTACAACATGAAATACTTAGCAAAAAAAAACACACCGCGAGCTCCGAAGAACTCGCGGCACCTCTTACCTCATGCAGTAGTAGCAGCACAATACGTCAGGAACAGCTTACTACTCCGCTTGTGAGGCTTCACCTTCATGTACTGGCGGGTCGGGTTATTCCGATTCTTCGAAGGCAACATGCCTTCGACGAATGAAATCGCTGGTGGTGTCTTGTACCCCGAGGGAAACGTTTTCTGGAGGACTTCGACGGCGGATCTGATCTTCCACGCTCGGTCCGAAGCAGCCTTTGCCAAGCCACTTGAGTCCTTTGAGTCGAATTGAGAACTGATTGATTGAATGAAGTTACTCCTGGCATCGCCTAGCAGCTAGACCACTCATGTAGCGCCTTGAAGGCACGAGGCTGCGGGTCGGTGATGGTGTCGCTCGGGAATGTCGTTTGGATGCGATTGGCGGGTAACAGGGCGTAGCGTACGTCTGTGGTAGTAGGCGTGTGGTGAGTTTCGGTGCGTAGCGCGCAGGGGCGAGGAAAAAGTGGTGCGAAAAATGGAGATCGACCCGTCGTCAAACTTCCGCAGTTTGGAAAGTACTCGCTGAGTGATTTCATTCTATTACATTTGTGAAAGATAAAGTGCTCAAGTGGTTTAACCGTAGGAACTTATTTGCGTTTAGAGACCAACTCTGTATCGTAGCCTTGGTACTGCAGTATTACTTGTCGCTGCGACACTTGCTGACTGACTGCTGCGTGATACCGTGAAGGGGTCGTTATCGCTACGATTTACCGAATTGACTACCACGGCATATCTTGGTCATCAACGCCGTAAGACCTTGCCCCACGGCTTCCCTACTTCAACCTTACTGTAAACGGAGTGATTGATGAATATGATCGTCGCATCAGGCTGTCCGTCCGTCGAGGGTTTGAACGCAGCACTGTCGTGAAGCCGAGTACCCTACCACTCCATGATGAAGCGTCATATCGCCGCCGTAAATTTCGTGTCGCGATTTTAAATGATTGACCATGGTAGCCCATGCAACCGCTGATAAAACGAGCTAAACAGTTGAGCACTCGACGCCGCCGGTACAGTTGCATGACTAAGTAGGAAATGCGCTGGCTTGGTGAGGCGATCCACAATAACCAGCACCTCATCGTAGCCAGTAGTGGTGGTGGGGAGTGGTGTGAGGAAGTCCATACTGATATGCAGCCATCTTTGCTAAGAAATTTCAAGTAGATGTAGAAGTTCCACATTTGTTGCACTGACAGAGCTCGCACGATGCAACGTAGTGGTCGACCGACGTAGCCATGCTCTTTCAGTACAATTTCTCGAAGACGTGGAGCAAAGTCTTTGCTTGGCCTGGGTGGCCGCGGGTTGGGACGTTATGCTCCTCGAAAAGAACACACTTACGCATACCTGGGGCATCGGGAACGCAGAGTCGCGGCAAAGCCGGTTGCAGCTGGAAGTATAGAAAGCTGTCGTCAACGGTGAATCGCCGGCAGCAGCGGCTAGGGGGCCCGTTATTGGCACGTTGATCGCGCACAGTTAGGCCAAGCTAATTGTCCGAAGCATAACCCTGGCGACATCCACGCTCAATATCCATTGGATGTTCAGTCTGATGGAGAAGCACCTCGTCTGCATCAAATTCTTCATTCATGACCATAGCGTTGATCAAGGTCGAGAGCCTGGTAACCCAAACAGTGCCGTTATTCCAGTCGGTACGTTTTGAGATCGCATCAGCGCGATGTTCGTGCTGCGTGGTACCCTGGCCGGAACAACGCAAGCTCGTTAAGCTTCCGGACTAAATGTTGGGAGTATGTTTGCTGTTGCAGGATACTCTCGATCGTGTGGCGAACCGTATTCAGGAAAAATATCGATCCAGCACGTAAACTTTCCAGATCCGCTTCGCATGCAACGCCACCATCAGTTCTCGCACACCAGGTAAACTAACTCCGGCTTCGTCAGCTTGCGTCCGCCGTAACTCGCCTCCGTTGTCATCCAGCTGAAAGGGGTAGCCGCCCACTGCAAAGTCCGACGCATCGACGTTAACCCTTTAGCTACGAGCTTTGCAGTGTAGGTCTCCCCCTGGATATGTACCACAACCAACCACAACGCGGTTTCGGACCATTTAGACCAATGGCAGCTCTCGTCAACCCCTCATCAAACCTGTACTTATGGATTTTGGTTTTCGTGTGATTTGCCGCTCGCGAGTTGTAGAATAGAATAGAACCTGCCCGAGTCTTATATCGGTACGCACCAGCTTGTTGATTTGCTCACATGTGGCTATGGTACAGGTCCGCTTGGACCTGTTGGGTGACTCCGCCAGCTTCTACCTAGCCCGTACAACGTATTATAGCCAATTGTAACCAATTATGAGCTGTCGTATAGGTCAGACTGGACCCGTACGAAGCCTCGTAGCTAAAGGGTTAAAGTGGAACGGGCTAGTAAAGTCCGATCGTTCAAGGACGGGATGTGAGGTCAGCTTGCCTTGAGTGTCGAAAACGCACCAAGCTGCTGGGGGTTGAGTGTGATAGGGTACTGAGGACGCTTATTGCGGACCAACTCCGTTAATAGCGCCACTTGCTCAGCGAACCCGTCTCAAAATCTCATCACATATGCACAAATCCTGATGAATACTTGCATGTCACACTTTGTCTTGGAAAGAGGCCAGTCGCAGATACTTTTACACTTGTTGGGATTCATCCGCACCCCGTTACGGCCGATGTAGTCGCCAAGACGCGGGATCCCGGGCTGGCAATATACACACTTCTCAATCTTAATGCAGAGATTCTCATGGGACGACGCTCCAATACCATGTCCAGTGCTGCCAGATGCGCCTCCATCGACTTAGTTTTAGTAAACACGAGTAGTTAGATCGTCAACATAAGTTTGACAGAAGCTGTTGAAGTCCGAGAAAATCACCTGGACTAGTCGGTTTAGCACGATGGACTACTCGAGATACCGATCGGAGTGACGAGGTACACGAACCGTCCGACTGGTGTTGCTAAGTCCGTGTACGGGATGGAGTTTTCGTTCAGCTTCACCTGATAAAGCCCCAAAGTACGGCCATCGCGGAAATTTTTTACCGTGAGCCATCGCGCGCAAGATCTCGTCCTTGCGCAGAATTGGGTTTGCTAGAACCTCGATGTCTGAGTCGAGTCCGAGGCAGTCATGTACAATCCTCCACTCACTGGAACGTTTGCGCGCGCAGAAGAGGCCGGTCTGATGATTCCTGCTTGCAGCATCTCGCGAACCCAAGCTTGTATTGTCGTCTTCTGCCCGGAGAAAGCGGGAATTGTTTCCAATGAACAGGTGTGGCGTCTGAAGCTTCTATGGTGGCGTCCCTGCCTTCGTGTCGAGTAGGAGGAACGTTTGGTAATGTGGAACGAAACGCGCGGTCGTGATACTTGCTGATGACAGGATGAATAGGCGAGTTTGTCATGTGTCGTCAGTCTTGGAACTTGCTGTATCTGACGAAATAAAAAGACATAACTCGCGAACTTCCTCGCCCAACAGCTTGGGGATGTCACGACTCCGAACAATTTGGGCCCGATCTTGATTACCGTCGTGGCCGTGCCGTAGGTAGACTTGTAAGGGCGCGAGATCCTCAGAATGGTATTGAATTCGCAAGGAGCGCTGACCAGCAATGAGACGAGCTCTCTGCCGCGGCACGCACGGCTTGAATGGTAATGCCTGTTGCGCAGGACGGGCCAGCCCAGGCGGTGACTTGGCTCGTTGATCACCCTTCGGTGAGGACCTTGGTGAAATTACTCGCTTTGACCAGTCGATTAGAGGATTGGCCTCGACTAACGAAGGCATTCCCAGCAGTAAATCTTGAGTCTCTGGCACCTTCAGGACGCCATAGCGCGGGAATCCAGGTAGTTATGCGGACAGCGTGCAAGTGCGTTGAGGAACAAACGAGACGCCGCCTGCTCCCTGCCTTAGCTTCAACGGATGCTTGTGCTCCTGGATCTTGAGGTTGAGCTTCTCCGCCAGTGCTGGTGTGATAGCGTTGAAAGGTGCTCCGCAACCGATAAAAGCAGAGGCAGTGGTGCCACTCGTGGACACGAGCTGCTCCAGGTAACAATAAAGCTTTTTTCCTGACGACTCAGCAATGCATCATCGCGCTCATAGGCGAAGGAATGCTGAGTCGCAGAGAGTGACTGCGGTTCTGCCGTATGGTTCTCGGTAGTGCAGCCTTTATCGGCGGGGCACCAGCCCCCTGAGAAGCCTAGTTTTTTTGCGCCAGTTCCCTTTCGTCGAACGGTCTGGTGACTTCTGGCCCTTGAAGCCGCTGGGCGGTGCTGGCCTGGCTTGTGGAGACCCATCTGCGCTGCGGCCGCGTCCTGGCTGCTGGTGACTGTCCTGGCCATCTGGCAGTAGCGCTTGGCACTCCTGCTGACGGGCGAGTTAGATTTGGCTTGCGGGTATCTTTGAAGCTGCACATGCTCAATCGTGTCTTGCTGGCTCACGGGGAAATTTCGGCGGATGTAGGAGTTTGTGTCGGCCCGGATGTTCTGCTGGTAAAACCAACGTTTGGTGATACCGGGAATCTCGATGAACGTCTGCGACGTTTACTCGTGCTACGACCCCGTAACTCGCGATTCGTGAGTAGCTTGTACTCAAAGTCGCTGTCCCTGAGCCGTGCTCGACTGTGCTCTTTGAACAAGGACCATGCCTCACTCACCGAAGCTTTACATTCTCGGTACCACGACATTACGTCGGGACCAAGAAAGGCGGCCATCATGTTAACGGACCGCGAGTCGTCGGCTTCGCGTTCAGTGGTGCAGGCAACTAAATGCTCTTCAACCTACAACTCCGAGTCCTCATCCTGCTTGCCAAGGATCTTAGATGGGTTCGCACGCTACTTTTGCTGGTTGGCCACCTTCTGCACCATAAACTCGTGCATCTACTGTTGGTTGTTAAGGAACGTTCTCGGAATCTGCTGATGGCTCGCCATCAAGGACCGCTGCTGCATCGACATCATCTGAAGTATCTGCGCCATCATTTGCTCCATCGAGGGTGCCGAAGGCGGGGCCGAGTTAGACGGCGGTGGATGACTTGATCGCCGACGGCGACGTGCTCACTGTTCTCTCCTTGGTTCGGCATAATCTGCTCTTGAGGATCTGGCTCGGCGCTTGTCGCTGAGTGACCGTCGTTTCAGGACGACTGTCGGGGACTGATATTCGTGGTAACAAACGGTCTTCTTGCCTATCGAAGCTCTACAAGAGATTTGTTGTTGTCGTTTTCTTCAGGGTTTCCACTCTAATTTCGAAATTGTCACGTGCTCTGGTAGAAGTTGACGTGGATGAGTCTGCACTTGTTGGATTGCTCGAAAAATGAAAACTGATTGATGTTAAGAGTGGCTACAAGCCTCTAGCTGTAGCTAATGTGAAAGGAAAGAGTAGGAAAATATGAAACCAACGCGAACTGCGATCGTGCAGCTCAGCGCCGAGGAAAGGATCGTAACCTCAGAGGCAGAGCTGGCAATTTGGGTTTAATCATTAGGTTTTCCCCTAGGTTAAACTCAAAAACCTACCAGTCGAGTTTTGCTGGGTTTTAGGTTCAACTTCATCATAGTTACCACTTACTATAAGTTTAACTTTTTTCTGCATGGGGCGCCTGCCTGTTACATAAATATATTGCAAGGGGGCGTGTCTTGACTGAGTTTGACTTATTACGGTCGACTTGGCGTTGTAGCCATGCCCACCCAGGGCATACTTGCCCTTTGTAGGAGAAGCCATTGTGGCGCGACTTATGCTTAAATGATGTTGTTATTGTGTTACCAGCCAAATCTAGCTTCATCCGGCTACGGAGGAAGGGTCTAAGGAGAAGTATCTGTAACTGTGTCCCAGTCTGGATTGAGAGGGCTATGGGGAAAACTTGGTGATTTCAATTGAAATCTGTCGGCCACAAACAGAAACAGCATTCTGTGCGTGCATCCGTTGCATTTGGTAAAAACATTCATGAGGTTCACGGGTGCCTCAATGCGTCCATGAACACCTTTATCGAGGTTTGCAAGGCTGAAAACTACAGTAGTGCATTGGTAGCGATGCGTACGGGCTCGTACATAATGGAAGGAATCCATGCATGCCTATGGGAACTACAGAAACGGATCCTGCATCAGTGATGCACATCGGAACGAACTACGAAATCCTTAGTAGTACACTATAAGCATATTATTCATTCGCTGGGATGAAAAGGGTGATACGTTGGAGCGAGTATGACAGTGGACGATGTATGGTTTAGACCTAGTATAATCAGTTTAAACCTACCCAAAAACCCATAAACTAATTAGTTTTTGTTGAAAATCAACAGGTTTTCCCAGCTCTGCTCAGAGGCCGTCAGGTCAGGAGGAGGCTGCACCTTGGCGATCCACGGTATTGTGCCGTGACAGTCGACCCCTATTAAAAGATCTACAATAAGTAGGCTTTCAAATTTGAATGTTTAGATAGCCGTCTACACCCAGCGTCGTGCTCAGTACAATTAAAGTAAAGAGGTGTGCATACAAAAAAACGTAAGAAAAACTCCCTAAATCGGAGCCATGATTATTATGTAAGGTATTGTGCCACTTGTGTGCCTTAATGTCACCCCGCTCACTGTTTTGCTCATAACTTTTTATTGGGCAATTAGTTTTGAGATGTAAACGCATATCTGACGAGAGCGCAATCTCTTCTGTTAGCAGACTGTTTTACTGAGCTCTACAGTAAAGGAGAACTCAATTAGGAGTTGCTGACTATTTGCAAGCCCATTCATGGCAGCACCAGTTATCTGCCGCATTTTATCTGTGGTATTGTAAGGGGGAAATCTCTTCTGCTCTCATGACAGCACCGAAACAACCAGTACAAAATGATTTGTACCCATTTGAAATCGTATAAGACAGGATATACGATATTACAATGTGGTACACAATATTATGTGAGTTGTGTATAGAGTCTGATTTGTGCTCAGAGGCAGCGCTGCCATAGCTTTGTGGTATCCTCGGATCATAACCGAGAGGACGGTGGTTCGATTCCACCTGGCAGCATTAACTCAACCTAAACACTAGTGTGCTAACTGTCACTTAGAGCATTAGGGGGCTGTCATAGAACTGCGAAGCTGCCACCAAGTGAACTGATTGACCGCCAGTATGCTAAGTACCATGAGTCGGGTTCCCCTTCTGATAACGGTTTGAGATTAAAAAACCGGACATCACAGCGGGCCCAGGCATACAGAGGGATATCGTATCACTATAGAAAGTAGGAAATAAACAACAAAACCAACGAAGACAATGTGGAGGAAAATACCCCAGCAAAAGCTTTTTTCTTTGGTTATATTAAACTATCGCCTCCCACACAACTTCCTCCTGCTGGTTTGCCTCACCGTGCTTCGACGCAGACTGGAACTGCAGCTGCACAGGACCCGGCACCGGAGACGGCACCCTCTTCGTCTTCGTTGCCATCGGATCCTTCTTCGTCTTGGCTGCCTTCTTGGGCTTCTTCACCGGTTGTGCCATCGCTTCCAGTGTTTCCTTGGCCAAAAGACGACCGGCGACCGTTGCTGTCTTGCGCACGCGCTTCTTGGACGGCGGTTGCACAAGAACCTCCTTCTGCACGACCTCCTTGATCCGAATCCACGCTGCCAGCTATGTGGATGCGAGGGTCCCGTTGCGCCGGAAATTATCGATGCATATGTCCATACGAGGCTTGGACGGAGGGAAAAGGCCGCACCCAGCAAACCCCACTTTGACATTCTCACCCATCTGGCATCCTACCCATGCTGCGCTTGCCATCCGGATGGCTTCCTCTTTGTCGACCGAATTGCGTCCAGTCTCGCCAACGTAGATTTCGGTTAGACGGCGTAGCTTCGCCTTGAACGACGAAAACACAGCGACATCCAGTGGTTGAAGCAGGTGGGTCGCGTTCGAAGCAACAACAGAAGCACGCCAAGCCGAGCTGCCTCTAAGATGATCTCCACGGAGTAATGAGACGAACACCCATCCAGAATCAGGAGAAGAGGTCGCTGTACGTCCTTGGGCACGCTAGCCGAAAAAAAGCGCAGCCACTCGAGAAAGAGAAATCCTTTCATGAACCCGGAGCTCGAGGTGGTGACGACAGCTCCGGATATGGCACAGCCATCGAGAACTTCGAGCTTGACTGCCAACACCGACAGCACGAAAAGCGGTGGCACCATGCACCCCGACGCACTGCCACACACGACCAGCGTGAGGTGAAAATTGAGCGCAACGTCTTGGTGTCAAACGTTCTTGGAGCCTCGAGCCACCACGACACACTTGGAGCCCTTTTTGGTCTGGAATGCTGTTTCGTCCATGTTGAACACGCGAGACGCGTCCAACCGATTCTCAATCACAGCCTTGATCAACGAGCTAAAAAGCTGCTCGAGATCGCTCTTGGTCACAGCGTTGCGGGCTTTGCAACCGCCTGAGACGTTCGGGTTGCCAGCATCAGGTGTCGCCCCATGAAGCGGCGGTACCACTCGCCACCAACTGTTTGGCCAGTGGCCATGGACATCATGGTGCCGGCTTTGAAGATGATCTCCTTGCGACTTGCGGGGTGACCGACCAGTTGGCGCCAGACAATCCACTAGACCAAGCATGCCTCCGCTAGTTGCGAGAGCAGCGGAGCCGGGCCATGACGAACAGGTGCGCGGAAGATGCCCATTTTCCCCTTCACGACCCATTTGATACGGAATTGGGGTGCTGTCGCTGACACTGCGGGCGCTGTCGCCGGCGAAGACGCGCTTCACTGCAGAATTGAGGTCTTCGATCTCGTACGCGGGCATTGTCGAGGTGGTCGCTGCGGCGTTGGTGGGTAGTTTATAGGCTTCAGGAAATAGGAGACTGAGCTCAAACTCGCGGGAAATGTGTCTTGGTCGTATACAGTTTGGCGGGTTTTACTGGCTGGTAGCGCTTACAGACTTTTTACCAATAGGGTTCTTTAAACATATTTTCAGCGTTCTAATTGGTTGAAGCTAAAGTGGCAGGGAACTGGCAGATTGCACGCGACTCTGGCATCGTACCTTACGTGTATTGTGCTTTGCAGATAAAATGTCGCCCCGTTTAATGACCTAGATCGAGGAGGGGCACCAATCAGGGCACAAAACAGAGATGGTAGCATGAACGATCTCGATTTACGTACATTGACCTCGAATTGCGCTTTTTTTAAAACTGGACGTTTTTTTAAACTGGACTCTGCCTCAAGTACACCACTCAAGTGTGACATTATTTGACCTTATGCATATAAAAGATCCGCTGAACAATATAATGCGTTGCGGACTTTACCAACATGTAGAGCATAGATATACACTACATATCAAGCGCTAGCATTCCTGTACGACCAAGTAGTCGAGCACAAGAGCTCCTCGAGTACAACATCAGGGCCCATTTTCGGGCGAGTGTAATCATACCGATTTTCGACAAATCACATTGTGATTCTGAAGGACCTTACAAAACACAGGATAAAATAGTATTTTTAAAATACCATCATCGTTTTGATCCTGGTATTCGCAGTTCGAAGAACTGTCGATTGGGGAAGGTTTTTGGATGACATCGAACGACATTCATGCTACACGGGACCATCGGCACATCATAGATAGATAAAGGATATTGAAGCCGACTAGAACAAATAATAAAGGTGCAATTGTGTATATTATAGCTGTTTCTATGAATAGTTAAAGAAAAAATACCTAAAATTCGAACCTCTAGCAGACATCGCATCTGTTAGAGTAACAAGTGACTGTAGCCACTTGTGCGTGTAACCCCGTTACAGGTTCGGCGTAGCGGTCATCGAACCGACCTCGTGCATCGGGGGGTGCGGTGGAAAGCTGCGAGGCGAGCTTTGGACTGGGTGGTGCGATCTGGAGCGGCTGTCCAGCTGTACGCAGGGCATAAAGCGGCGGCATTGCGGGCCGTCGCAAGCAGGCATGTAGGTAGGCGTGCAAGAGGAGGTGAGTCGAACAAAGGGTTGGACACACCGGGGATTGAACCCGGGGCCTTCCGCTTGCAAAGCGGACGCGCTACCACTGCGCTATGCGCCCAGCAAAATGGAAAACCTAACCTCCATTTTTTGGACCGCTTTGTCCTCGCCCCTGCGCGCGCTACGCACACAAACGCACCGCACGCGCACTGCCACGGACACACGCTACGCCCTGTTGCCCGCCAATCGCATTCAAACGGCCTCCCCGAGCGACACCATCACCGACCCGCAACCGACGTGCTCTTCGCTGAAACGCGTTGTTCGTCGTGGCCACACACCCGAGTTTGCGCCGGATCCACGCTTCAGCCAGCGGCCAGGCCGTCTGGAGTGGCAGCGCCAACGCATTGCTGCTGGTTCTGTAATGGGCCTACCTTGGCTCACTACTACGGCTTACACGTATGCGCACGTGTATGAGGAAGCGTAGATTTCTTTTACTTGAGTTAAGTATACTCGAGATCCACGAGTATACTTTAAACAAGATAAAGACTCCAAGTAGCGGGTTTTGGTAAAAGATGAGAACTGCTATTTTTGTTTTATGTTTCTGACTTCCTCTAAATGTAATATTCTAAACTAGGAATCTGCCAACGGCTGGTTGGCAGGATTCTGCTAACATGCAAGTCACTCATTGGCTAAAAGATGCTGCTTTCAGCCAATAGGAATCCTAAATGTGTATGGACCACCCGACGTGGTGGTCATAAATGTATGTAGCCATTGGTGTGCCTTACACCAAGGTCGAGGAAGTGTTCGAACCTCTAGCAGACATCGCATCTGTTAGAGTAACAAGTGACTGTAGCCACTTGTGCGTGTAACCCCGTTACAGGTTCGGCGTAGCGGTCATCGAACCGACCTCGTGCATCGGGGGGTGCGGTGGAAAGCTGCGAGGCGAGCTTTGGACTGGGTGGTGCGATCTGGAGCGGCTATCCAGCTGTACGCAGGGCATAAAGCGGCGGCATTGCGGGCCGTCGCAAGCAGGCATGTAGGTAGGCGTGCAAGAGGAGGTGAGTCGAACAAAGGGTTGGACACACCGGGGATTGAACCCGGGGCCTTCCGCTTGCAAAGCGGACGCGCTACCACTGCGCTATGCGCCCAGCAAAATGGAAAACCTAACCTCCATTTTTTGGACCGCTTTGTCCTCGCCCCTGCGCGCGCTACGCACACAAACGCACCGCACGCGCACTGCCACGGACACACGCTACGCCCTGTTGCCCGCCAATCGCATTCAAACGGCCTCCCCGAGCGACACCATCACCGACCCGCAACCGACGTGCTCTTCGCTGAAACGCGTTGTTCGTCGTGGCCACACACCCGAGTTTGCGCCGGATCCACGCTTCAGCCAGCGGCCAGGCCGTCTGGAGTGGCAGCGCCAACGCATTGCTGCTGGTTCTGTAATGGGCCTACCTTGGCTCACTACTACGGCTTACACGTATGCGCACGTGTATGAGGAAGCGTAGGTTTCTTTTACTTGAGTTAAGTATACTCGAGATCCACGAGTATACTTTAAACAAGATAAAGACTCCAAGTAGCGGGTTTTGGTAAAAGATGAGAACTGCTATTTTTGTTTTATGTTTCTGACTTCCTCTAAATGTAATATTCTAAACTAGGAATCTGCCAACGGCTGGTTGGCAGGATTCTGCTAACATGCAAGTCACTCATTGGCTAAAAGATGCTGCTTTCAGCCAATAGGAATCCTAAATGTGTATGGACCACCCGACGTGGTGGTCATAAATGTATGTAGCCATTGGTGTGCCTTACACCAAGGTCGAGGAAGTGTTCGAACCTCTAGCAGACATCGCATCTGTTAGAGTAACAAGTGACTGTAGCCACTTGTGCGTGTAACCCCGTTACAGGTTCGGCGTAGCGGTCATCGAACCGACCTCGTGCATCGGGGGGTGCGGTGGAAAGCTGCGAGGCGAGCTTTGGACTGGGTGGTGCGATCTGGAGCGGCTGTCCAGCTGTACGCAGGGCATAAAGCGGCGGCATTGCGGGCCGTCGCAAGCAGGCATGTAGGTAGGCGTGCAAGAGGAGGTGAGTCGAACAAAGGGTTGGACACACCGGGGATTGAACCCGGGGCCTTCCGCTTGCAAAGCGGACGCGCTACCACTGCGCTATGCGCCCAGCAAAATGGAAAACCTAACCTCCATTTTTCGGACCGCTTTGTCCTCGCCCCTGCGCGCGCTACGCACACAAACGCACCGCACGCGCACTGCCACGGACACACGCTACGCCCTGTTGCCCGCCAATCGCATTCAAACGGCCTCCCCGAGCGACACCATCACCGACCCGCAACCGACGTGCTCTTCGCTGAAACGCGCTGTTCGTCGTGGCCACACACCCGAGTTTGCGCCGGATCCACGCTTCAGCCAGCGGCCAGGCCGTCTGGAGTGGCAGCGCCAACGCATTGCTGCTGGTTCGGCGTAGCGGTCATCGAACCGACCTCGTGCATCGGGGGGTGCGGTGGAAAGCTGCGAGGCGAGCTTTGGACTGGGTGGTGCGATCTGGAGCGGCTATCCAGCTGTACGCAGGGCATAAAGCGGCGGCATTGCGGGCCGTCGCAAGCAGGCATGTAGGTAGGCGTGCAAGAGGAGGTGAGTCGAACAAAGGGTTGGACACACCGGGGATTGAACCCGGGGCCTTCCGCTTGCAAAGCGGACGCGCTACCACTGCGCTATGCGCCCAGCAAAATGGAAAACCTAACCTCCATTTTTCGGACCGCTTTGTCCTCGCCCCTGCGCGCGCTACGCACACAAACGCACCGCACGCGCACTGCCACGGACACACGCTTCGCCCTGTTGCCCGCCAATCGCATTCAAACGGCCTCCCCGAGCGACACCATCACCGACCCGCAACCGACGTGCTCTTCGCTGAAACGCGCTGTTCGTCGTGGCCACACACCCGAGTTTGCGCCGGATCCACGCTTCAGCCAGCGGCCAGGCCGTCTGGAGTGGCAGCGCCAACGCATTGCTGCTGGTTCGGCGTAGCGGTCATCGAACCGACCTCGTGCATCGGGGGGTGCGGTGGAAAGCTGCGAGGCGAGCTTTGGACTGGGTGGTGCGATCTGGAGCGGCTATCCAGCTGTACGCAGGGCATAAAGCGGCGGCATTGCGGGCCGTCGCAAGCAGGCATGTAGGTAGGCGTGCAAGAGGAGGTGAGTCGAACAAAGGGTTGGACACACCGGGGATTGAACCCGGGGCCTTCCGCTTGCAAAGCGGACGCGCTACCACTGCGCTATGCGCCCAGCAAAATGGAAAACCTAACCTCCATTTTTCGGACCGCTTTGTCCTCGCCCCTGCGCGCGCTACGCACACAAACGCACCGCACGCGCACTGCCACGGACACACGCTACGCCCTGTTGCCCGCCAATCGCATTCAAACGGCCTCCCCGAGCGACACCATCACCGACCCGCAACCGACGTGCTCTTCGCTGAAACGCGCTGTTCGTCGTGGCCACACACCCGAGTTTGCGCCGGATCCACGCTTCAGCCAGCGGCCAGGCCGTCTGGAGTGGCAGCGCCAACGCATTGCTGCTGGTTCGGCGTAGCGGTCATCGAACCGACCTCGTGCATCGGGGGGTGCGGTGGAAAGCTGCGAGGCGAGCTTTGGACTGGGTG